ATCAGTGCCTTCGAAATGGACTTGGGCAACTTTATATTTCGGCAAGATAATAAGCTTAAGCACTTGATAAAGTTAAAAAATAACATTACTGTAGGAAAAATCACTGAAAATTGAAATAAGTTGCTCAGAGCACCGCCCAAAATCCAATAGATTAATTTTGGACCACAATTTATCAAAAAATTCCGATGAAATAGTGATCAAAAACGTATTTCTTTTGAAAATTATCATATGGGGATAGCAAGGGGAAGGGAAAGCGATTGCGAATAATAATGGAGAACAAAATTACCAAAATGGCTTAAATAGATACAGATATTAAAATCAGAACCAAAATAGATAAAAAATTTTGATATACAAGAAATTTAAATAATGATATATGTATAAAATTTACACTTTATTTTGTCCGACAAAAAAGTGAATTTATTTTAATTTTAGATGTTATGCAGAAAAATTTTAAGTAGAAAAATTTAGTTTTATTGTTATTTTTGTAGCATTGTATATAAACTAAATGATTTTGAAAAAAAATTCCATATTCAATAATCATTTAACCGATTTTTCGCTGAAAGAATATACATGAGTACTTTTGCACTTTATTTTGTCCGATAGTGTATGTACATAAGTAATATTGGTATCAAATGAAAGCTGGGAATCTATACATTGTTAGTTGTCTTATTTTTACATAAAATATAATTTAAAAAAGTTAAAATTTTTCATAACTACTTTTTGGAACTAATTTCTAAAATCCCACAACCTAATGGTTTTTCCTTAAAATTTACCTAGGCTTTTTAACGTGGTTTTTATTAGTTTCCTAACAAACAAAAAAATTATATAACTTTTAGGCACATAAACCCATTGATATAAATATGAAGGTATGTATAATATTTGGCAACAAAATATATATGTATGTACCTACATACATATTGAATCAATTTCTAATAGAATAAAAAAGAAAACAAGTAAAAGACAACTTTGTATATGTTATAGTTCCTGAATTGTAACCACAAAAATTATATAAACAGATTAAGTAGGTAATGAAAAAAAGCTAAATAAATTGCATTGTAATTGAATTTCGAACAAATCTGGCTTTGAAGTGTTGTTCCTCCAATACAACAAATTAGAAAATGTAAAACAATAACAACAACAACATAACCGAACGTATATAAGTAAATAAAAACATTCAAGAGATAATAAAATCAGGGGTTGCCTGCCAGAATTTTGTATTTCAAATTCAACCGCAGCACAGCTGGATACTTTTAGAATCTTAAATAGTGCAACGAAGCGGCAAATAAGTGATGCTATCTGTGATGACAGCAGCTAAAGATAAGAAATATACATACATACGATACACAACAATAATAATGTACCACTCTATTCTATCATTTTATACATTTGTATATGTTATGTTTATACTTGGGTTGTTGCCATTATTATGCGAATATGTATAAGTATCTATTATCTGTCCGTCCGCTGTTTCAACCAACAGTGTGTTATACATACATGCTTTCATACATATAATCATTTTTATAATAATGTATATATAAAAGTGTTATATTCGACAGATTTATTCATATTTTCTTCTTATTTTTTTAAGAACAAATATCCGTCGTTATTTTATATTTTAAAGAATTTATGACGAAGGACAAATTAGGCATTTTCTTTGCTTGTATTTTTGTATCCCCGAATACTAACATCAGAAGGTAGCGAGACAGCCAACCATCCATCCAGCACAGGGGTATTTGATATCGTCTTCTCCTATGTATAAATACTTTTACGTTTGTTTGCCCCAATTGTTGCTGTTTTAAGTTAAATAACCGGATTAAATGACTTCAAGACTTAAGCATATGAAAGCAGGAAAATAGAATTGCGAAAAGAAAAACCAGTTTATCAAAGACTAGGGTATTCAATTATTCGGATTTTTGTTTTAACCGATTTTTTGGACAAATAATTATAACTTAATCTATTAATAATAAACGATTTTCCTTCATAAAATTATCAATATTAAAAGAATAAATGAATTATTTTTTTTATTAACTTTTACATTATCTTATTTATTATTGAATTAATTTCTAAAAGAAAATTAAAAACACTAAAATTTTATATTTTAATAAGATATATAATCATAATTCTATCGCGTTTTTCAAATATCTTATTTGAATAAAAGAGAAAATATTTTAATGTTTCAATGGTTAAACGAAACAAATTTTTTGGCAATATTTAACTATTCGAACCATTAATCTATAACAATTTATCGGTTAACCGAATAATGGTTGAATACCCTATCAAAACGCAGAAGACTCTGTTTCGCTTCCACATGGGATCCCCGAGAATATTTTTGTATTCGGAATGGAAAGTCACATATATATGTGTACAAATTCTTTTTAAAAATATACACATATACAGTAAATGTTTTGATAATGGACGACAGTAATACATATTATTAAAAATTAAAAATAGTTTACATTTTACTGTATATTAAATATTTTCATTAAAAAAGAAAGGAAAACATATTTTTAATATTGTCAAATTTGCACTCAAATTTAAATTATATATATATTTGTTCTGTTTTTTTTTTAATAGAAAGTAATTGCTTTTGATGACGGTACCTATATACTTATCTCCATTTCTATAGAGCTATCTCGGGAATCTATACGAGTTGATATATGTAAGTTTGATCTCATGAAATGAATTCAAGATTACCGAAAGGCTCTGTACTTTCGCCTACTCTATTTCTTATATTTCTAAATATAATTATGCAATACACATACATATGCTATTCCTATTATTTAACTAATATAGACACAATGTTGGGTGTGTTTTACTTTTCTATCGATACTAAATTAAAAGTATTTTTTCTGAAATTCCTGTTCCCGATGCCGGCAAAACACGCGTCTTTTCAATGGATCGATTCTATTACAAGGAAAACTCCTTCTTACCGTACTGTCCATATTTGGAATAAACTTCCAGCAGTCATGTACATATGCCGAATCTTACCACCACCAAATCATGCGAGTATAAATTGATCCTTATGTTATTTGTTGCCAAAAAATCACTATAAGTTATTAGATTTATTTAAATTTTTTTTATCGTTTATATGGACCGGATCATGGAACGCGCTCTACAGAATTTAAAATGAAAGATTGAAACATTCTTCCTATGGTACCTTTTGGATATTCTATAGTGGGGACACGGTCCTTATTAAATAGGAATTTATAAATGGAGGTTTTCGTACTTTTTCATTCTTCAGATGTCACTTTTTGAATTTCCTATAATATTGAACATATAAATGTAAAATTTTGTCTGCGTCTAGTATGATGGTACGTTTTCCTGTATATAACATCCCTCATGAACACTGATTGGAAAATCTTTAGGAATTACGTCCAGGAAACAGGATCTCTGAACATCGGATGATAATACATTCAGTGAACACTATATAAGATTTTTGTTGTTACCAGCAAACATTTCCCTTAAAAAGGAGTGTTCAGCAGGCCCGAATTGAATTAAAATTTTCTATAATATTGAACACAGAAACGTAAAGTTTTTGATTGAATGAGAATCTATAATAAGTATACTTTTGACTTCTTCAAATAGTACTTTCGAAATTTTCTATAATGTGGAAGCATGATAATTTTCTATATATTGAACATAAAAAACAGAAACATTAGAAAAACATTTTCTATAAAAAATTTGGATGTATTTTATTTTGGTTGTCTTAGCGAAGCTCCCTGATAGATATTAGATAATAAACATATTAACATATTAAGGGAAATACTTTCTTAAATTTTATTTAAAATTATTTTAATTCGCAGAAATTAATCAATATTTATTCACCAATAATTAAATCTATACGAAAAATGTATATTTTATACATAAATTCATTATTATTCTTTTGGGTACCACATAAGTTTTTAGGTATTTTTGAGTATATGCTGAAAAACTAAAGAAACTTATTTTTTAGTGACACAAAATTAACAATTTCAAAAATTTTATACATTAAGCGAATATAATTAGAGCTATTTAAATGTTTGTTGCAGTATTAAAACACTATGCATTTGAGAGTTAAACCAGGTTTAATTTTTAAAATCACATGATTTATAAAAAAGTTATTTAAGAAATATTAAAATGTCGTAAAACATTTAAAGCCGTTTTTCTAGAAACGAATTTAATTGAGTTATAGCAGACTTACTACAAGTCTGAGCAATATGTAATAAACTTTGTTTAATGATTAATTGAGTACAAATTTATTTTTTGCAAAAGGGGTTATATAATAGTTCGGTTCCTATAAAACTTATTAATGTCAAATTTCGTCACTATACTCTAATTTTGAGCCTGGGCTATAGAGTGTAGGGTCAATTATGGAGCGATCGTCATAAAATTTGACAATATTCCCAGTGTGACAGATTTTGTGCCTAATTTCAAGTCATTTTCTGCAGGGAACCTTAAATTGAATAATGAAATTTGACAGAAAGATTTTGGTCTCTATATAACTTGCTCGTTTCGAATTTCTTCGCTTACTGGCATTTTTAAGCAAGTTATTAGCGTTAAATTAATGTTCTGATATTGCCAATTTACAAAACAAACTGCGTCAATAAAAGGTCCAAAAACAACTGTTAACATAATATTATAGAAATTACTGATATATCGAAACCAATTCATCTGATTTAAAAAATTTTGATGGAGCATTTTTAAATTCCAAAGAAAACTTTTTTGCTACTGCTTTTTTTGCTTTATATAGGGAGGTTTTCACAGAAATACAAAAATATTTTTTTAATTTCAGTAATGCTATTTTAACAACATATGCACTGATAATAAAAGCAGTAGGATAAGAACTCGTTAATACTAATTAAATACAAATAATTTAAAATAGACAAAAAAATAAACACTTAAAAATAAATAAAAAATAATAAATATATGTTTTCTTAAAATAACTTAATAAAAAAATGATACTTTATAGAATTTGGAAATTTGTATTTGTTTCAAGTGCAAAGAAACATCATCATACTCACACTGGGAATATTATCACTATTGCATACTTGTTCCGAAAGCAATCGATCTCGTATTTCCCACGCAAAAATGCTGGGACATTCACGTTTGTAGTCTGCTATTTTTTGTACAACTGGTGTGGTGGCAACTCGAGGTTTTGAACCACCAATGGCACGTGGCTTAATTGACCCAGTTTCATAATATCTGAAAATAATTTAAATATAATTTTTAATAAATACTTTTGCTTTTTATTCACATATAATTTTTTAAATAAACTTGTCAAACAAACTTTTTTAGTTTTAACTGTTTCAATTTATTTTGTTAAAATGTAAAGATTGTCCAAATCCAAAAGGTTTATAAAAAAATCGATATCTTTCGTTGATTTCATTAAAAGGTTTATAAAATCGATATCTTTTGTCGATTTTATTAAATAATTTAAAAATAATAATTCAGTTTTACTTAAAAATATGGAAGGCATAAACATTTTGGCTTTTTCAAAATTTATAAATCTCTTATTGTATTGTAGGGGAGAAGCGCCTTTCTGTCTAGGACAAATTATACAATTAACATCCAGAAAAATGTTGATGTCTTGAGTATTGTTAACTGCCCTGCCAGCAATTTTGTAGTCGTATACGATAAAAATCCATTTCTAGTTAACTTTTACAGACTGACTATAAGCTAACTACATTGTAATGCAGAAATGTCATAAAAGTTGGTATTTGGCAACAAGCTAACAATCATGTAATGCAGAATTACTCAAAATTTTCTGGAATTTTTGATATTTTTTCTCACGTTTCTTTATTATTTAGAATTTTGATTTACATTTTTGTAATTTTCTTATATACATTTTGAAATTAGAGTCACTAATTGGACAAATAAATTATAAAAGGTTAAATATTACAAATACAAAATTCTGCTGATTGATACTGTAAATATATTATTAAATTATAAGCTAACATTATACATAACATTTTTAAATTTATTTTAGATTTGGAAATTTGGATCAATAGGAATCATGGAAATAATTAACAAATCATTCATAATTTTATGGATACCGCTGTATAGACATTAATTTCCCCTGCTGGAAATTGATGTCTATTAATTTTAAAGAACTAATGTCATGACTTGTAAAAGCAGATCACATCACATAAACTTTCCAAGCTTTTTAAAAAGGTGACTATATATATTTTTAATTACTTAACGGATCTTGAAAGAACTTGAACCGACTAGTTTCATGAAAAGCATTGGAACTTTTTTAGATTTCTCTGTTTTTAATATTTGTTGCATAATTATCAAACAAGACTTTAACAAAGCGCAGTGTAATTAATTTATACAGTAAATAATAAAAAAGAAAACTATTAGTTAGTTAAGCTAACTTTTAAGTAACAAGCTTTAAATTAATTGCGAGTCGGACAATTGACTACTGCCAATAACATCTCAACAATAAAAAAGAAAACTATTAGTTGAATTTCCTGCAACTAATTTTAAGTTAGTTAATAGTTTTCTTTAAGTTAACTTTTAAGTAACAAACTTAATTGAAAGTCGGACAATTGACTACTGCCAATGAATTCCCAATGTTAAAATAATAGATTTAAATATGCTATTATAATCAAATCATGCTCAATTATGCAAAAATTTGAGCTAACAAATCGACGCCAAAATTCTTGATTTTTCATCATTTAAAACAATTTTTTAAGACCCAAGATAAATTCGGGAAAAATTCCGAAACATTCCATGAATATGTATATTGTAAAAAGCTAACAATTCTTGTCATTGAATATCACAAGTAAACCTTACACCACTATAGTGGGGAAGGCATTATGCGTTTGTGGTGATGTTCGTAACACCTAAAAATATTAAAGTGCGTACGCTACAGGTCGCAATTTTCAAGACAATTTTATTAAATTCGCTACATACTTTTCCTTTACTTGGCCCAATACAACCGTACCCCCGAATAGGGCTCTTGAGCCCATAATTGTGTTAAATTTTCTAGTATCTGACAACATAGTCTTCTATAAGCCTAAATGTTATTGCCTGCATACATAAATTAAATGTATACGTAAATAACTCTAGCAAAATGATCAAGGATAGGACCATATCTATCCATGTTCCGTATAACCCTACTTTCAGAAAATCACTTTTTTTCAATTAAAAAAATATTTCAGAATTAAGACAAAAATTTAAATACTTTATTTTTAAAAATAATCCGGACTTTAACATACTATTCACAGGTGTAGGTTATCTTCGGCATGTTTGACATTGTCCTACCGAGACCCAACAAAGTATATATATTTTGGGTCTATAATTGGTCATAGCTTCTACATAAGATCCACTTCCAAAAAACACTCAAACGCGCATATTTCACTGATAAATAAAGCTATCTTGATAAAATTCGAGTTGAATATGTTTTGTGTACATGCAAATCATTCTACTAATTTTTTTTCGTATCGGTCCATTATTGGTCATAGCTCCCATATAAGCCCACTTCCGAAAATCACTTAAACGCACATACTTCATTGTCAAATAAAGCTATGTCGATAAAATTCGACTAAAATATGTTTTGTATATATATATGAATCACTCTACGAAATTTTTTTCGGATAGGCCGATAATTGGTCATAGCTATATAAGGTCCTATTTCGAAAATCACTTAACGCATATATTTCATTGAATTCTAAAGCTATAGGGATAAAATTCGACTTGAATAGGTTTTGTGTACATATAAATCACTCTACCAATTTTTTCCGGATAGATCCATAATTGGTCATAGCTCTCATATAAGGTCCAATTCGGAACATCGCTTAAACGCATATAATTCATTAAATAATAAAGCTATCGGGATAAAGTACGATTTGAATATGTTTTGTGTGCATATAAATCATTCTACCAATTTTTTTCCGGATTGGTCCATATTTGGTAAGAGCTCCCATATAAGGTATACTTCAAAAATCACTTAAACGCACATATTTCATTATCAAATAAAGCTATCTTGTTAAAATTCGACATAAATATGTTTTATGTATGTATCACTCTACGAAAATTTTCCGGATAGGCCCGTAATTGGTCATAGATCCTATATAAAGTCCACTTCCGAAAATCACTTAAACGCTATTTCATTAATTAATAAATCTATTGCAGTAAAATTCGACTTGATTTTTTTTGCATATAAATCATAATTGGTCACAACTCCCATATAAGGACCATTTCCGAAAATTACTTAAATGCACATTGACAATCAAAGTTATCGGGATAAAATTCGACTTAAATGTGTATTTTGTATATATAAATTATTATACGGAATTTTTCCGTATCGGTCCATAAGTCGTCTTAGCTCCCAAATAAGGTTTATTTCTGAAAATCACTTAATACCATTTAATTCGTTATTAAATCTTTATATCCAGACAAAATTCGACATGATTATGTTCGGTGTATAGATAAATCATTCTATTAAAATGTTTTCGAACTGGCCTAATGATATAAATCTTTCTGGACCTAATCAAAATTAGTTCGTATGTGCATAAATGTTAGTACATACCCTCACTACGGAAACAAAAATTTTTTGTTGAATGATAGTTGAATGGGTTTTAAAGTAGCTTGCTGGTGGTGGGTATTTAAAATTCGACATAGCCGAATATATACACTCTAACTTGTTATACCTACGGTGACCAGACAGAACGTATTATACAGAACAGTACTGTATTTGAGAGCCCTGTTCTCTATAAATTATTATTTGCTAAAAAACGTGAAAATGTTCTGTATTTTATTTAGTGATCTGTATTTGTTCAGTATTCTTTATTTTTTCAGTTTTACATAAAAACGCATAAGAAATACAAAAATATTAAAATATATGACAACATTTTTTTCAACTATAAACATTTTAATAAATTACTTTATCAATTAAAAAATTAATACATAACTGGAATTAATTTTTTAATAAATTGTATGAGTCGAACATGACTTTTTTCCCAAACTATTTTCATTCAGAATATTAAAAGTTCATAAAATGTATGAACTTGTACATGATGCAAATTTTTTGAATTTTTCTCTTTTTCAACGATATTTATGAAATAATTGCATAAAAGTCATTATTTACTATTCTGTTTACATTGTAACAGAATAGTAATCCTATATTAGCGAATTTTATATAATAAAAAATTGGAATTTAAATCTTGAAAAACAAAATCTAAAACAGGAAATCATCAGCAAACATTCAAAAAGGCCCGCAAATTACGGGTAAATTTTATCGATTTTAATCTAAAGAAATAAACAATTTTTCAAAGAAAATTTCTAACATTCAAATAGAAAAATAAAAATAAATTTGAAATATTTTAAGTTCTTCTAGATTATGTTTAAAAAAAAAAACAAAAATTAAAAAATTCATACCATGTAGGAACTATTCTTAAATATTATTAACTTTTGTCAATGAAAGCAGTTCATAATATTTATGCTGAAACTTTTTTCTGTGAACAATCAATATAATAATGTTTAACGGTTGTATTCATAAAAAGTTAATTTAGGTTTATTAAACATTATTAACCAAAATCCACGAAAATGGTATTCATAAACGTCAAATAGCTTAAAATACCTTCAATAAACCAATGACAAATAGAAAAAATTTATTGTACGCTCGACCCTACTTTAAGCCAACAATAAGTTGAATTCTTACAAATTTTGTCTCTTTTTTCATTAATTTTAGGTTGAAGACGAAAACTAATCATGTTTTATTCTGAAATGAAATCTAAAAATTGTAATTTTAACGTTTACAAATTTGTAAATAAAATTCCAGATAAATTTTAAAAGTTTCTATTTTGCTGATAAAACTAAAATCTAGGCATTATTGGATTAATAGATGAATATTTGACAGTATTCCAGTTGGTTAATACTATTTTTAGCAATTTGGAAATGCCCGCCTGTCAATCAAATCATGGCCACAATCATTTTATTTGTCTTTTTCATAGTTTATTCGCTAAATATAAAGCCATGAAGTAATTAAGAGTGTAAATTATATTGATTAGTGTTCTATCAATGCAAAATATCTTCTCCGGCAATAAAATGTAGTCTTTTATCAAAGAAATTTATCAGTATTTGCAAAAATTTATTAAAAATTGCTATAAAAATAAGTAAAAATAACAAAATGTGCATAGTGATGTTTATTTTGTCACAAAATATTCGTTATTCGAATACTTTTAATTATAATTAAAAAT